TGATAAAATTGCACAATATAAAATCAACACATGAAAACCAGTAGCATTTCTATATACTAACAACAGATTATCTAAGACCAAGAAAATCAAGAAAACAGTCCCATTTACAATAGCATCAAAAAGAATAACATATTTAGAAATAAATTTATGAGTTGTGTGTAACTCATGAAAAAAGTTATTAGTTTTGAAGTTTTTGAAATTTTGAAGAGAAATAAACTATTTTAAATTTTAATGTTGATTTTATGGAAGATAACAGTTATACATTTTGGGTGTTTAAAGAAATAAAAGCTACCGCAAATTTAACCATGGAGGTGAAAAATCTGTACACTGAAAAGCATAAAACATTGATGAGAGAAACTGAAGATGACACAAATAAATGGAAAGATATCCCACGTTCATGAATTAGAATAATTAATATTGTTGAAATATCCATACTAACCAAAGCAATCTACAGTTTCAGTGTAACCCCTTTCAAAATTCCAATGGAATTTTTGACAGAAATAGGCAAAACAATCCTAAAATTCATGTGGAACCACAAAGACCCTGAATAGCCAAAGCAATTTTGAGAAAGAAGACCAAAGTTAGAGGCATCACATTTCCTGATGTCAAATTATATTCTGAAGCTATAATAATCAAGACACTATGGTGGTATGGTACTGGCATATAAAGAGGCATATAGACCACTGGAACAGAACAGAGAACCCAGAAATCAACCCCTCATATAAGGTCAACTAATCTTTGACAAGGACACCAAGGATTCACACAATGAGGAAAAGATAGAGTGTTCAATAAATGATGTTGGGCAAAATAATGAAATTGGACCCTTTCCTTACATTATATACAAAAATTAACTTGAAATGGATTAATGACTTAAATGTAAGATCTAAAACCATAAAATTCTTTGAAGCAAAATTAAACAAGTGGAGGGTAGAACAAACTAAAAAGCTTCCTCACAGCAAAGAAAACAGAGTGAAGAAACAACTTACATAATGTGAGAAATTATTTGCAAAACATATATGGTAACCACCACCCCATCAGTGGTTTTGCTTTCTGAGGTTTCAGTTACCCATAGTCAAATGCTGTCCAAGAATATTAAATAGACAATTCCAGAAATAAACAATTCATAAGTTATGAATTACATGCCCCTTGGAGTAGCATGACAAAATCTTGCACTGTCCCACTCCATCCCACCCAGAATATGAATCATCCCTTAGTCCAGTGTATCCACGCTGTAGATGCTCCCTGCCCCTTAGTCACTCAGTAGCTCTTGTCAATCTGTCACAGTGCTTGCTTTTAAGTAATGTTTATTTTAAATAAAATGGCCCCAAAAGCAAAACAGTACTGATGCTAACAATTCTGATTTGCTGTAAAGTGTTTCCTTTAAGTAAAAAGGTGACCCTTCTTGACTTAAGGAGAGAAAAAAAATTGTATGCTGAGGTTGCTAAGATCTACTATAAGAATGAATCTCCTATCCGTGAAATTGTGAAGGAAGAAAACATAATAAATCTGTGTAGTTTTGCTGTCATACCTCAAAGTGTAAAAGTTATGGCCACAGTGCATGATAGGTGCTCAGTTAGGATGGAAAAGGCATTAAATTTGTGGGTGGAAGACATGAACCGAAATGCACTCTGTTTCTTTTTCAACTTTATTAA